TATTATTATTATTATTATTATTATTATTACATTTATAATTACAAAAACAATAATGATAATAAATAATAACAATAGTAAGAATAATAATGATAAATTACAATAATACACCATTATAAGAGTTTCAAAAAATTCACTCACCGCCCGTTCCTGTTCATTGTACTGTGACGATATAACGTATGGAATTCTAGCGTTGGGCCACCTTCTAACACCAAATAAGACGCCGTTTCGCCGTATTCCGTTCTTTGATGATTTCTACAGCAATGAATGGAATGCTTTTTCGAAAGTTAACGCAAAAGCATTGTGCCATTCAACGAGAGTTGTTAATGACCGACACATTTCAAAACGTGTTGTATAATAAGACCAATTAAATTCAATTTCCCTCTACTGACCCGCCGTGACCAAGCAGCTTTTCCACGAATATCACCACGAAAGAAGTTCTGTTTCGAAAGAATTGAAACGCTACGAGGACCATCGAATTTCACTTCTGCTTGCGATTTCACTGCGATTTCACCGATTCCATTGAATTTCGCTGCTTCTGCTGCTTGCGATTCTTGAAATGGACGTGATTAAAGTGCATAGCTTACTAACAAAATGTAATCATTCCCCGAACAAAGCTGATAGGATGAATAGAATCTCAAACGCTAAAGATGACGATAAATTGTTAATGGCCCTTTGTGCAATCTGTATAAAAGATACATTCAATCAAATACATTGTATAAATAGATGATCAAAAAAATCGCGGCCAAAAATATTGAAAACAAAAGTATAGAGTCGAAATTGAAAAATTACTGCACGGCGAAGTGGGTGAACTAATTTGATGATGTTCTTGCGTTTGACGACGCATATTTAGGAAATCTTGAGGTGTTAAAAATGTGGAGTCATCTGAAAAAATTTACGGTGAAAGCTGGGAATAGTATTCATTGACGTTTTCATTTCATGTACCTACTGTAGGTAACTTTGGTGATGAATTGCAATGAATGTGCACTGAAGTCAGTTGAAATTACACTGACAAACTTTAAATAAATACTGGCCCAACAATGCAATTAAATGAGTAATGTTTGATTGGCTGACCCTCCGACGATGTTAAAAAATCGTTTGTATTCAAGAAAGTGAAATCATGTTGCCGCGTGCGATTGAGTGAATAATCTGAAATTTGATCGTCCAATCAATCGAATTGATGGCAGTCTCTTACAATTTAAAACAATCACAATTGAATCACCTGTTGTCAACAATATAGGTAAAAATAGCAGGATGATGAACAGAGGCCAGCAAAATAACATGATCATAACATGACTGCACACCATCACCAGAAATGCGATCAAAAAGTAGCAATGAATTGAAACAACGAATATTTCTGCATTTGCATCAATCCGAGGTGATGACAGATCAACAGAAAATTTTTTACTTGTACACTGACAATCCTCGCATGAATACCATTCGTATAAAAGAAGGATATGATGAGAATTTGACTTGAATCGACTGAAAATTGTTACTGTGTATATGGGCGATCTGCTCAACTAAACTCTTTAGCGAAATGAATGTCACCGATATAACAAAGTGGTTGGTGGAATACTGGTAGATGATCAATTGAATAGTACAGATCGCTTGGTTGGTTAGTTGGCTATTTAGTTGATTATGATGATGATGATGATGTCCATCACGCATACTTGCTCGCAAGCTATTCGATCCATTCCGATACGATTGCATCCAAAAGTGAGATTAATCCCATTTAATCGTCTGGTTCGGAACTGGTCCGAGGTTAAGTGAAGCGATCGGTTATATTCGAAATCGGTTACATAATACGTGATATGGCAATAGTTTTGTGATGATTATTCAGTGAAACGATAACGTTCGTGTTGTCAATAAATGTCTCCAGATTTTGCGATTTATTGCCAGGCAAATTTGACGATACAGTTAAAGTAACCAGCGGTTCCATTGCCTTCCTGCCGCTCGCTTCTAAAATGCTAATTGAACTGCCGCATTCAATCAAAATCCACTGGCACCACGCAGAACTCGTTTCGAATAAAACAGTTTTATCCTCTTTACGCGTCCTCCATCTATTGTTGAGTTTTATGTTTTCTGGTTTGATGTTATCAACTCCACAATTTCGTAAAGCATTACGATGATGGTGAATACGACGAAACGATAATAGTAGTTATGATAATAATATATAATAATAATGATGATGATAATTATTATTATTATTATTGTAACAGTACCAATAATAATAATAATAATAATAATAATAACTGATAATAAATAGATTAAACCTTCTAATGTATATGTTCATTATAAACAGCCTACTTATAGATCACGTTGTATTCATTAAATGCAAATGATGAATGAATAATAAAAATATTCTTCTGTTATTCGTCAGTGATTCGGTATCGATGATCAACTTAATCATAGTGAGGATACCAAAATTCAATGCTTCAATTTCCAATTCATACCTGTTGACAAGTGAATAAACTGGTGTAAAAAAACTGAATGATATGTGGAGCAAATGGTTAACAATGTTTATATGTTTGCTGCAACAACACCTAAACAAATCATGTTCCATAATCTTTTCAGTGTTCACCTTCGCTTTACATTTATTGCTATATCCTCAAAAAAAAAACAATAACAACAACAGCAACAGCACAGCAATCAGTTAGTGAATTATTTGAAAATGAAACGTTTTGAGTGAATGTGCAACTGTTTACAATCGACACATAGTACATATGAACCCGATACATGAAATATATATGTATACATCGTAAGATAAATAATAAAATTATAGTATTAGGACTGATAAGTGACACAATAAAAGAAGAGTTTTAGATCATATCTCATTTTAGCTATTATTCATATCAACGAGATTAACAATTATTGAGCGGAACTCATTCTCAAACACACAAAAATTCAAAGAAAAAAGACAACAACATATCGCACAAACGAAGTGTTAATGATCTGAAATTACTTGAATTGAAGCAATTTAAAATTATGCAAAATGATGACGATTGAACGAGCATATAATCAGCAAAAAACAAAGAATACAAGTTCAGCAACAGCGATTCAATGGCATGTCGTCATGCACTGAGCGAGCTGGACGATGAATGAGAAATTTGGAAGTAAACAAAGCGAAAATTTTTGCTCTGAAATATATTTTGCTCTTTTTTTGGAAGCATCTCATGCTAATGTCTTCATTAATGAAGACGATCTATCAAAATCTTTAGAATGTCACCAATGAGTTGATCATTTCATAAATCATCAATGAACAAACAAAAATGTATGTGTATAGTAACGAAACAAAGAGTAGTATCTATAAAACTGAAAAGTGTTTTTGACTGTTACAAAATTTGTTGTGAACTACAATATCTTTCTTTATCATGCATTTTCCGATCATCAGTTAGTAGATGTCATTCAACTTTTGGTTCATTTTCTTCAAAATCGTTTCATTGATAAAGACGTTCTCGTTCTGCATCTCTTACGCTGAAATGCTGCTGCGGTTGAGGCTGTTGATTTGCTAGGGTATATTTATAGGAAGAGAATGTGGAATGACCATTATTAACGAGAGCATTTCCATTATTTGGTTGAGTGATTAATTCATAACGATGCTGTTGAGGCTGCATTTGTTGCTGACCATTCGATGAAGATGATAACGAGGATGATATTGGTGTTCTTGTTAGTATTTTATCACTCGCTGAATTTGAGCAGCAACAATACCTATATACTACTTTACGTTTGCGTATCACAAACAAAACACATAGCAATAAAATGCATGCCAATATCAAGAGACCAAGAATCTGAAAATTAATTACACATTATTTCTTAAGACCATGTTTTTCTTTTGTTAGCGTTTTTTAAGTTTAAAAACCTTCGCTATTTCTGTGAATTCTATGCTTTTGTATGTGTCTATTTATGTATGATACAAACAAACATGGATGTCTTAAAGGCATCGCATGATTCGTTTGACCCGAAGCAGTTACTAAATATGAGTAATTCTTGAAAAGATATAATCAGAAAAACAGAAAGATGAAACGAACAAATAACACTAACATAGGCAACAAAACTGATGCGTTTAGTGCCAAATTTATGAAAAACTTTATTGCTGGCTGAGTTGGTCTCTGAAACATTAGATATGAGATAAATGCGTTTTTGGTGAAAGAATACTTGAAATTATTCAATATACCTTTTTCGCTGAGAAATTTACACAAATTTAGTATAGATAGAAGAGTAAATTCTAAATACATTCGCTGCAATTTCTGTTATCAGCAGCATTCCTATAAATGAAAGAAAAAACGGACTGAATCAAATCACTTAATCTGTCGAGTTTTAATAGCGTCATGTAATATGATCAGGAGATAGAGGTACCCCAATGATAAAAGACAGATAGATTCATGCGTTCTGAATGTTCACCAAATTCGAATCGTTCTTACCGTTGATCCGATTGGGTTGATTCAGTGTTGAAGATGGGACAGATTCTTCACCTGTTATGAAACTTTTTCCTGTCGATGTAATTTCTTCTTGCAAATTTGCTGTTAAATCGCCAAATTCCTCACGCTCGCCTTCATCGTAAGCCTCATCTTCACGTTCCACAGATTCATACGCTTCTCCTGTAGCAATTAAACAGCACACGTCTTTCCAGGCAAACATCAATTGTGAAAGCTAAAAGCAATGAATGCACTTCTTTTACTTAAGCAACAGATTCATAGATTCAACAAGGATTCAATATCCATCGGTAAGTTTTCAACGAATATACTTTGATTTATTACTATTATAATTTATTGTTATTATATGTTATAGTTTATTGTTATTATTTATTACTGGTTAAATAATTATAATAACAATAATAATAACAATAACAATAACAAGTATAATAGCATTCTAATAATAATAATAATTATTATTATTATTATTGTTATTATTAGTATTCTTATTACTTTTGTTATAATCATCATTATTGATATTATTAACCGGTAATTGGAGACGGTGAAAATGTCGATGAGAATGCAGACGAGACTCGATGGCTTTCTAAAGAATCATCAGAGTAGCGATCCATATCGAAAGTTGCCGTAATGAGTTCACGATTGACATCGGTGGAGGTGTCTTGTTGAAGATAGTTAACGCTATCACTGATGCTTGCAGCCAGTTCGTTCGATGACTGATCTTCATCTTGCGAGAGGTTCAGCTCTCGTGAATCAGTTTTCACCTCTTCCTCTTGATGCACTTCGGATGGGTGTTGTTCACTCTCCTCTTCTTGACTCAACTCATTCGGTTGCTGGCTTACCTCATCGTCAGCAGTCAATTCAGCCAACTCCACCTCTTCTATTTCTTTCAGACTACCTTCTGCTTCTTTATCACCATCCCCTTCCATATCTGCACCAGACTTATTATGCCTCAATGTAGCATTTGCTGTATTCGTCTTTTCATTCTCAGCAATCGTTCTCACACCTTCATCATTATCGTTATTATCAACGTCATCCGCACTAGCCGGGATGTGGCCGTTCTTTTGGTTTTCCTCTTCTGCTGTGTTGCTTTCAATAGCGTTTTCATGAGTAGTTTCGTTTGAATCTTGATCAACGCTTTCGCTAACATCACTGAACGATGCATCATCTTCATCAGAAACCTTCATTGTATCACTTATCAGTTGACCATCTGAGACTACTTCAGTCGGAGTTGATTCGCTAATTTCATGGCTTTGTTCCTCATCTTCATCCTCTCCACTCTCATCAGCATCACCATCTTCATTGTCATTCATCGGCGAGTCAACGCTATCATCAGCAAAGAAGTCGATCTCTCGAGCGATTTCTGCGGCACTTTTCTGCAAAATAACCAAACAGCTAATCAATTTGTCACGTATGCCACGCCATCATGCTATCAGAAGAATAATAATAGTAAACAGACTGATTGATAGTGTTACTACTAATAAACGAAGTAATTTGCATGCAATAAATTATCAATTATTCAATCGAAACTGCACTTCTGTAAGCAGTTCTTGGTCAGCAGCTGCCTCACGATCAATCGCTTCATCATCCAAATCGAATTCATCTAAATGATCGATATCTTTATGAACTACCGAAAATACGCTACATACCTTTTTAGCAAACTCATATCGATCACAAAGAATTCATATTATCTCCGAAGAAGGATTGTTTACCTTGAATGTGTAAGGTTTTCAAAATGACCACAGACAATATTTAGTGATAGTCAGCAATCTGAATCTCATCTCTTTTTCCTGCTTCCTTTCCTCACTGATAACTGATCAAAAGTTTACATCTGCTGAAGGAGAGTCCAAAAATGAATTTGTCCCATTGGAAGTATTTATACATCTTCACTACTTATCAACACCACCCTTTCAAAATATAAAGATGAACTTCATCTGATCGTACATATACTATTATGTAATCACCAACCACCGCTATCATCTGCTTTATCCATTTCACGTTCATCATCTAAACCTTCAGCATCTCCAAATCCGTATTTGTCTGTCTCTAGATCAAATTCCAGAATTTCTGAACTAATCGACGATTCCACATCAATAATCGCAGCATCATTCATATTGCGACGGGCGTTATTCAATTGTCGTGGACGTTGCACATCTACCGTATACCTGTAATATTATCTGTTTGATAGCAAACATCACACTTGATCTGCGTGTCTATGGAATCAGCCAGTTCAGTTTTTCAACTGTGTAGCACAGTTTATCAAATAAAACGATAGCTTACAGAGTATGTGAAGCATTTTCACTCCTGTGTAGAAGAGTGAAGTACTTTTCTCTTATGTCATGATGAGAGTATCGTATCGTTGGTATTCAGCAAAAAGATAACGATATACGAGTGCGAAATGAAAAAAGAAATTCACTCTCACCAGAATTTCACAAACTTAGCCCCAGCGAAAACAGCCCTATCGAACTGCACTTCTGAGAAGCCATCATCTTCATAATAGTCGTCATCCTATAATATCATCATTTAAAACGAAGTATAAAAATAACGCAAATACAGAGTTCAACAAAAATCTGAAATAAAATGCACAACCAAAGAAACACTTTTAAATGAAACATTGCACACAGTCAAGCAAAATATACACTGATTAACTCGGAAATTACATCGTTTTCTGCTATGGTTTCATCTAGATTGTCCAATTCTGTACTGTTATCATCATCAAGTGCTGATTCGTCTGCATCCTTTTCCGAATTGATTGTATCAGCACTCATTCCGATTGTAAGATTCGCACTGCACATTAAATCGAAATGATTATCACTTTCTTTTTTGATCACTTCACCATCACAATTCTCAGCCAACTGCAACCAATAATTCATAATGCATACAAAACTGACTGTGACTGATACGAACAACTGTATTCAATATCAAATTTCATTAAAGTAACAAATGGAAAGGAAGGGAACTCAACACATAAATGCGTTGGTTCCTCCAGAAAAACGCAAAATTACTGGCCAGGAAGAATGCAGAGCAGATTTTTTTTTTTTGAGATCTTTAGCATAAATAATTGAAAATACTGAAAGATGAATAAAAAGTGAAAAGTTGATCTCAGAAGAAATGATGAGATGCAAGTGAAATAGATGACCTAAACGTCAAAGATACTGAAAGAATAGAATTTTTTTCTTGCAAATAACTTCTTGAAAAGAAGCTTGTTTGACTAACTGAACTCAAAGTAATTCACCTTCTCAAGCACAGCATTTTACTGGGACTGAATTAGAAGCGACAAGTTAATGGAGAATTACGAGTTAATGGAGAATTACAAACACTTACACGAATTGGAAATTTATAACGAATGGTAAAATTTGATAGAGTCAGTTCACTTCGCCAGTACGGTTGTAACCAGAATGGCTCGACTATCAATAGCACAGATAACCGACGATTCTCAGCCTGAGGTTTTGGTGGCAACTGCAGTGCTGAATCAAACACAGTGAATTCGATGGCAACATCTTCTTCTTGGTAAACAAAAGAAGCGTCAATATAAAAATCGTTTGTGTGAGACACAAATACGCATCATTCATGTTCAGCAAAAATTATGAATGAGCTAGACATCTGTTGTATACATATAATCAAAGTAATGACAACTAGTTGTTTCATTTTTTACTGGTTCAAGCCATTCGGATAACATAGATGACATTCAGACTGAAATTTTCTTTGCCAGAAAATATTGCGCAAAATTTCAGTAATGTACTATTGTACTACTGAGAATGCTATGAGGTAACATGCAGCAAAGCTTTACGAAATTATCATATCCGAATTGAGATAAAAATGTAGTTTTATTATCGAATGGATTTTTTGTAAGATCAGAAGGAAAATTTAGCGGAACTATATGAATGAAGCAGTCAACAGCCACAGCAGTAGCAGTAGCCAATAAACCAACCTGAATGATAGCAAACGTTAAAAAGTTTCGTTGAATCATTTCTAGGTTTCTGTCGAATCGGTTTCGAATCGCATGCTTGAGGAATTGTATGCGCACATCCACAGTCACCAATCGTCTCGTCCGGAGCACGACGAGCCCGTAGCGCGCTCTCGCGTAATCTCATACAAACGCTTCAACAAGTACGTTCAAGTGAATGATCAACGGAACATTTGAACCAAATTTTAGAGATCAAGGAATGGGTGGGGCACAATGCTGAACACGATTATCTCTCGCAGAATCAGGAAAGGGATATGATGAACCGATTGAGAATGTCACTTTTCATAAAATGAATCAAATATGGAAACCAATAGAGTTGTTTCATCTCTAAAGCATTCTAGTGTTACAAGTTCCGGTGAAGGAAATAATCTCAAGACCCTGTCGGCTTCTATATTTCAACAAACCTATATCCAGCAGAAGTACAATGCCGACATCCACTACATTCTTCAGTGGTACCATTGGAATTTGTTAAATGCGTGGTTAATTTATCGAAAGTATTTCGTTCACACTCCAAAAAGACACAATCAAGTTGATACGAAGACGTCTGATGAATGTTGAACGCACTGCTGAATTTCATTCAATTCAATTCGTCATGATCATTCAGCAAACAACAATTTTCAAGAGAATTATTTACAATTATGCTACTGCATTTCTATGCAGAATATTAGATCCCTTGTGGATGAGCATTAGATCAATCATTGAAAGTTTCACATAAACCAAGTGCCTTTCTCGGAATTATATTCCGTTTTTTGTCTCATGAAGATGTATCGTTCTCTGGTCGTTCGTGCTGCGTTTTGCAAAAAAATCACGAAATGCTTGCATTTCTTTAACTTGTCGATGAGAGTTAAGCCTTACTGATACTCTGAAGTTGGCTATCTTCATGTCATAAAATAGGAGCCAATCATCAAATTTTTTGGAATAGGGGATGAATATGTTATGGAGTTAGCATTCGTTCACAATCACACATGTGCATATATAATCTGTTTAACAATAAGGGTTCTTGCACTGCAAAGTAACGATAGCGTATCATATTTCATTTACCTGTTCATGGTGGTCGAAAGCGTGATAATAGCGATTGATACTGCGACAAATTGTGATATCTTGAAACTAGTTGAACGCTTGTTCGCAAATAAACGATCCATCACAAGCATCGAACAATTTTTCGCTACGATTATTTTTTACACGGTTATGCTTTTATAAACGTGCATATGTAGTTCTCGAAGTAAAATTTGATGTGTACAGTATATACCAAGTCGAAGAATTTTTTTCTTGTTCGTTACTGGGAGCAACAGGTACACGCTCCTTCGCTACAACGACAGCAACACTAATAATGAGAATAATAATATTGATGATAATTATTATTATAACAATAATAATAGCAATAATAACAACAATAATATTAATGATGACAGTAATAATAACAACAATTATAATGAAAATGATAACATTAATAATAACAAACGACTAAGAATAGTAATGTTAATCCTAATAATCATAATAGCAATACTAGTCATAGTATATAGAATGCTAAAGTTCCCGTCCACGAACACATGCAGGTATATCACACTGAAAAACGTAAACGTTGAGCCAGCTCATTACTCAATAATCGACTTCAATCTATTGAATGATCTCTTTCGATACAACAAACACACAAATCTATAAAGACGTATGCTTTGATACAGTCAAAATAAAGAAGTACAGTTTACTCAGCTATCATTCATCCACCACAGTCGATAGTCTCTCATTCATAGCTTCTGTTCGTTTGTCCCAATATTTTTGTTTTATCGTTTATTTGATGCTAATATTCTCGTTAATCATCAACCTACCATCTCTTTTAGCATTACGTAATTCGCTTAGCACTTCGTTCTGCTTTAAAAACAAACAAGCTACTGTCATCGTAAGCTACTTATCTAAACAACACTCGAACCTTCTTTCTCAATATCTGTTACCAAGCGCTCTCATTAACTTGTCGTTATAAGCATGTTATCCAACTCAGACCATCTTTTATAAATGCAAATAATTGTAATTATATGCACACACCAATAAAGTAAGATCAGCTTCATTAAATTATCAACTTAATCGAACGATTTGCAAGCGAATCGCTGTCATTCATCCCAACTTTCTCATCGAAGCACTCATTAATTGGTGTTTCATTTCATCAACGAATCAAACAAAACACTATGAGACATGAAACAAAATGCAGCGGAAAAACCTTTCTTGAAGCAGATCAAACTCTAGTGATGCAACTCTAATGTAACTCAAGCTTACATTAGAGTTCCATCGCTTGCATATATCAAAGCATCATAACATTTATGGTGACACCATTATTGTTTGTATTAGTATAACCTATTAACCATAGCTGTCAAGAAGTTAGTTTAAATAGGAATTGAAAAGGAAGATGCTTGATTTCGATGAAGAATTAAGTGAAATGAGACTGGATGGTATTGTTTTACGCGGGTGTGCTCAAAACATCCGTCCAAAAAAGGGTATAAGCGGTGGATATGAGGGGATCATAGATGAAAATGAATAGATATGAGAGAGGATGAGATGAAATAAAATTGGAAGATAAAGGACCAAGATAAATGAATGAATGAATTGATTGACATCTTAAGATTGCTTAGCAGTACCCTAAAAGGATTTCAAGTTCAATTCAACGACAGTATAATATATCCGGTGTTGCATACGATGGTATCCATATCGGATTTGTTTGTGCATAAATAATAGACCATTTATGTGTAGGGAATAGGTATTAGTGAAAATTGCTCGCATGTCTTACTTAAGTAGACCAATATCGAATTACTTCATTCTTATATTTCCACGGATTGTCTTTCTTTGATTTTCATTCACTTATAATATTTAGTTATTCATTTGTAATAATAACAAACTAGTATTAATATTCTTATTAATGTCACTATTACTTATCACATTAGTTTTTGAAATGAAACAACGAATAATATTGGAAAGGCGCAAATGTCATAGTTGCCATTATAGCTGCCAGAAAAGAGCTGAAAACTAGGAAGTCCGAAATTATTTGAGCCCAAGTTTAGGCTTAGCTGTAGATCATTAACCAAGCTCAGATATATGCTTAGCATCACATTTACACTTAAGCTCAAGGCACTATTCCGTTCAACAATCACAGACACTGTTCCAGCTCGATTGTCGACACTTCGTCATTACTATCACATGAAATCAGTTTGAACCACTGCAATTTAGTTTATTTTCCAACTGTTCATATCTTGCAACATCATTTCGAAACATTCAAATTTCAACAACGATTTTCCTTATTCCTTCAACTCGCATTTCGTCGAATTATAACTAATGCATCAACTAATCAGTACTTTCATGGTATTCATTCCAATAACGAAACTAAATTTTCTCTCAAAAATATTCGCTGTGATGAATGATTCCATGTTTCTTGCCAAGTATGCGCAGCTGTTTGCATGGTACTATTCAAGCATTCGTCCATAAAACAAATTACTATTCATGAAAAGATATATAATAATATTGATAATAGTAATATTGTTAATAATAATATTGCTAATAATAATAATAATAGTGACAAGAGTGATAGCAGTAACGATAATAATAACAGTGATGCCAGAATTGAAGGACATCAGAATACGATTATTCAGTTACAAGGTCCGTGAAGTGTTTTTTGTTCTGTATATCTGAAAATCACTTCAAGTCAGTTGTAAACAAATTGCGTAAATTTACTGGCGATTTTAAGCTAACAACGTTAAATTTGATCATATTCCTCGTGAATCTCTCATTTATACGATATTTAATCGATTAAATTATTTTTAATCGAATATCAATATTCATAATTCACTCGTATTTGATAACATACAACTAAACATCAAAATTTATTTCATTTCGTCACTCGTTTGAATGACTACTCATCAAGCTCACCATCTCGTCCAACCGAAGTCTGAAGTCGAATCAAATCACAAGAGTTTTAACCTCTTCCACTGAAGAAGACTACTGCTAGTTGTGTGCTACAATTCGTGTTTGTTTGTTTATTTATTTGTTTCTATTTATTTATCACCTTCAGATGCACGTACGTTCAGTTCCCATCGTCATTCACAAACACTTCTCATATACGCTAATTCCGCTCACACTTACAGTCACAAACTTGTCGTGAACCTTAATTCGACATCAATACTTCATATTTATCACTGAATGGCAAACGATTGCTTTCAAAAAGTAAACCTAGCCTGACGTATCGTATGCAACATATCAACCGAATACTCGATATTTCACAATTCAACCAGCAATCTCTTGATCTACGTTGAAAACCTGCAGCATTCTCATGTGAAAGATTAAGGATATCATAGGATATTCATGATTGTATGCGTTGATCTTTTCTTATCTCCATATCCAATAGTAACATGCAGATATGCTATTTTCGTTAGAGTTGGCGCTATCCGAATGTTTGCTTGAACTTGACGATAAACAGGAATGACTGATTGGTTTTTGAAAGGAATGATGATGATGGGATAAAGTTAGGATAGTGAATGGGAAAAGATGGTCAAGGTAAATAATAAGTGGGTACTGCAGTAAGAGGCTTTGTACACAAGAAAATTGGAAAAGTTAAAAATTTGACATTTAATGGTCACTGTCCGAAAAAAACTATTAGTTCGTAAGCAAAAGCAGGTAACTGTTGCAGGTAACTTGGAAATTTTCGACTAAACATGATATATGCTACATCTAGAAAAATTTGAGAACATTTCCGGAAAAAAATTTAAAGTGAGTGAAAGACACATCAAAAGGTGTTTTAGACTCGAAAATGCCGAATGTTCGACTCGTAATTCCCTAATAGAAAATCTGAGAAGATTCGACAGCAATCATACCATTGAAGGCTCCGGATACTAAGGAATTCAGCATGAAACACCTTTAAAGTATGGACGATACTTTTACCTTTTGTAAGAAGTAATTACTCGACGAGTGTTGCAATGCAACAATTCAAAGAATGAGAATTGCTGAACAAAAAACTGATGTGATCGTTATGAAGGGTAACGAGTGCACAAAAGTTTGATGCAAAACAGTGAGTGAGAACTGTAATATTAATCAGCAAAATCATCTTCCCTCTTATACCAACAATTAATCCTCATCAAACAATACTATTTACTATTGGGGTTCATACACTAAGTAATATTTACCAAAAAATTAACGATACAGTTCTTCCTTTTATTTTTTTGTACGAATAGTGTGAAGTTTATTTTCCAAATGTCTGCTGCTGCTCTTACCATTGCTTCTGCTGACTTACCCAAATAGCTTTTGATCGTTTTGTAAATAATGCGTCACTCAGTCGAACAATCACCTACCTACCTGGCATCCAAACATAAAGTGCTGAAAGTATTCATACCATCAACTCATCTCATATATATAAGCTGAAGCGTTGCTCAGCTGTAAAAACAAATGTCTATGTGCGTGTCGTGCCCACTTATTTTCCGAGAATCGTTGTTAGTCTACACACTCAGAAATCATAGGAAATTTTCCGAGAGTCGTTGTAGGTTTAGCAAAACAAATTGCTGACAGTCTTTAGTTGCTGAGAAAGACAGAAGAATGCTGAACAAGAATTGATTTTTGAGTAAGGGCTGGGAATCTGTTGGATAAGAATGAGTAACACACGAGTAGGTAAATCACAAAAAATTTCAAACAATATAAACGAAGCAACTTAACTGAATATGTCAAACGATTTCATAAGATGAGATGATCAAGGTCTCCCAAACTCTCACTCCAGCTTCTCATACGACTACTTCACTCAATGGTGCAATCGTTCGCTGAAGTAGTTCATGTGAAAGTTTACGAATAATTGATATATCAGTAACCAAAGCAGTTCAATAAGTCGATTTCATTCTAATTCTGAATCAACAATAAGAACACCTATGCAATTGCATTGAAGTCGGCATGATCAAAGCTCAAATTGCATTCAATAATTCAATCTGTATCCCTCTCCCATGCATTCACTTCGAGTCCTTCTCTTTGCGCATTATCATGCAACAACTGTCACACACTCAATCAATGATCGAGATCGGGATTTTGCAACGATAAATGATATCCTGCACTAATATCGTTAAATGTGTGCAAACAAGGACGTAAATGAAGTTCGCTGATAAAAAAAGGCATAAACCCGTTCAGTTGTAATTGC